GATCTCCTAATCAACTAGCCGTCTCTCTGGTTCTCTCCCAGGATGTGTTCTTGATATGCTTCTCCCTGGTCAGTCCGGCCTCCTTTGAGAACGTCCGAGCTAAGGTCAGTACGCTGACTGACCAACGCCCCCCCACCCTTTGTCCCCCTCCATGCCGAGTCTGACCACAAGGAGGCACATCTATTGCTCCACCTGGCTTATCACACTGCTGCCCCAGCTCGTTCAGACCTCGGTTGAGAACGGTCTGGACTTGACCCCCCCCCCCCCCCCGGGGGTGGGGTGCAGAGACATGTTGTGAGGCGAGGCCTGAATGAGTCCAACCACTCTGCAGAGGGAGCGTGACGGCCCGGCCGTGGTTTGGTCTGCTGAGCATCATGGGACGCTCTCATATGAAACCACACTTTCCCTAAAGGTCCAACCTCCCTCCGTAGACTCTCTCATCATGGGATGTGATTGGAGGCTGCCTTGCCTCATGATGTTTTGTGTTCATACAACTATGCTTCCATTCAGACCGATCTATTAGAGAGAAAAACTGCTCCGAGCTCCACAACTCACAGTCCGTGTCCAATGTGGTGGTGGAAAAGGCGCTCGTCGCTCTGCTTGTGTATCTGCTAACCGTTCTCTTTCTTCTCTCTCACTCACTTTGTCCTTTGCATATGCAAATGTGAATGTGTGTTTTTGGTGCCTAGTGGTACCCCGAGGTGAGACACCACTGCCCCAACACACCCATCATCCTCGTGGGCACCAAGCTGGATCTGCGAGATGACAAGGACACCATTGAGAGGCTGCGAGACAAGAAGCTCTCCCCCATCACCTACCCACAGGGCCTGGCCATGGCGAGAGAGATTGGTGAGGCCGCGTGTGCCACGGGCACAACAAGATACGTGTTGTATGAAAAGTCAGTCATTAGTTACCTTTGTTTTTGCAGCAAATGATCAAATAACAACAACACGTTTGTACAGTTATCATACAGTAAGTGTGCTGCATTTTCAACATCAAGGCAATTTCAGTTCTTATTTAGGTAAGAATGATGAGCTAAAGAGGATCCACATCAAAGACTGAAAGAAATAGGTTTCCAAGATGAAGTGCAGGAGTCAGGATGTGGTTAGCCTAGCTTAGCATTAAGGCTACAAGCAGGGGTAAACAGCTAGCCTGAATCTGTCCTGGGACCATAATGTACTAAATGAACATCATGCTGTATTGAAGAAGACTTGAAACTAGAGATTGAGACCATAAACTCATGTTTACAATGTTTACTGAGGTAATAAATCAAGAGAGAAGTAGAGTCATTTTCTCATAGACTTCTATACAACCAGAGGAGTCGCCCCCTGCTGGACACTAGAGAGAATGCAGCTTTCACTTTTCAGACCTGGAAGTTGCCACCTACATGTAACTCAACAAGTTACAACATGGTAATAAGTGGGCTTTAGAGGTGCTGGTAGGAGGATTTTTGAATGAGTGTTGAAGTATTCTTTTTAGAGATTAAGTCAAGGGGAACTTTGCTTTAAACTACTACGAGGTACTTTCATATTCTGTTGATTTCTGTGGTCCAGTGGACAAAAGAGGTAGTGTTTAAGAGCACCAGAGTCCCTTTAGTAAAACCTCATTTTACTACAGCAGTCTGGCAGTCTGCCCCGCTCAGCCCTGGTTCTGGATCTCCCGTGCCTCCCCTCCCTCTAGTGGTGTCGGTGTTGGTGCCCAGGGAGGAGAAGCTCTGCTCCTGGAGGAGGATGAGGTGGAGGAGACGCTGCTGCCGTGCATGAAGCTCTCCTCCTCCCTCCGGAGCTCCGACTGCAGGTTAAAGGCTGCAGTGAAGCCGCATCTGGGTCTGTCCACGGTGGACCGGTCTCTGCTGGAGGATCTGGGTCTGTCCACGGTGGTCCTGTCTCTGCTGGAGGATCTGGGTCTGTCCACGGTGGTCTGGTCTCTGCTGGAGTCTGAGCTGAAGGAGTTTCTGGTGAACCTGCATTATTTCATCTGGTTTCACCAGAATCCGACCCGGTGGCACCGATGACGAGCATTAAGAACTCTATAGAAACAGACAGAAATAGAAATAGTCTTCTCTGATGGTCTCGTTTACTGATCTAGCTCATATAAAGGCATCAGTATTCAATCGGGACTGTTTCAGATAAATCAGTTAAAAGTTCCTCACAGTGACTCTAAAACTAAATAAAACCAAAAAAGTAAAATATATCCAAACTCTTCATAATATTTTTTTATTCAAACCCTCGTATATATGTTACGGGATAAGGGTGCACATTTTCCGTCTCTTCCTGAGCACATTTAGCTTCCTCAGCATCCTCTGCACATCTGGCCTTATCGCTCTGTGAAGTAGAAGTTACCGTTGCTCACAACTTCCCAATTCTGATGTCGGAAAGGTGTGGAGGGGTGGAGGATTCAGACGCTGTTAAAGGATCCAGCAAACACTTCATTTGAAGCATACTGACGCCCTAAAGTTTTTTCCCATCATGCCCTCTTCCTTCCTCAGGCGCCGTGAAGTACCTGGAGTGCTCTGCGCTGACCCAGCGAGGCCTGAAGACGGTATTCGACGAGGCCATCCGAGCCGTGCTCTGCCCTCCGCCTGTGAAGAAGAGGGGGAAGAGGTGCACCATGTTCTGAGGAGGAAACCTTGCTCCAACACTACACTACATCACCATGTACAACAACCACTACTTCTCTGAGAGGATGAGAGAAAACTAGCGAGAGTGAGTGTGCACTGCTGAGATTGCTTTCTTTATATTGATGTTTTTTCAAAGCGACATTGGTATACTTAATCCAATTTTTTTACCATAACTGAATAGGCTCATAGGTTCTCTGTGAAAGACATTGACTGTCCACCTACTTTGTACTCATAGAACCACATCAAGTTGCCATGAGGGCTGACATTTATATTTACTGCATTCTGCAACATCTCTTCTTTTCCGCCATGCTTGCTTGAATTAATGCACTGTTGACGAGATGGAAAGTGAACTATGAATACGCCTTCAGGTCTGAAGTTACCCTCAGCTCCTGATCTAAGATCAGCATGCGCAGACGCAATGCGTATTACTGGCATGCACACAAATCTGTTGCTACTGACAGTGGAAAAAAATGATGCTACTGCCTGCGTTCACTAAACTTCACAAATAGAGCATGGCGTCTTAAATGTTAAGTCATTTGGGTTTTTCACAAGAAATGAGAGTGATGAGTTAAAGGGAAATTCTAATCTCTTACAAAATGTTTTCTGTAGTTTTGGCCCATCATTCCAACCAGTAATAACGTAAATGCTGAGATTTCAGGAACCTGATGAGTCAAGAAACACAAGAAAGTGCTTCAACGCAACTGCACAGCTGTCGTCCATCTTTGAGCCTTCTCCTTAGAGGACCCTGAGTCTAAGCCTAGTTTCATTTTTCAACCTGGTCCCTACTTTCCCATGTTTTTATGTGTAAGTGACTAATGGGGACAACAATTTAGCCACCAAGCTGCGAGGGCAACTCCTCACCGTCAATACACGTCCACTAAAAGTCATTTCTGTTGCCTCTGACGGGCTCAGATTATTGTTAGTGCCTGACAACGTTATGAAAGAACCTGATGGAGAGGGAAGAGAGACGTCTGAATAAAACTGAACCATCCTGGAAAACTGTCTATCAGCTATTATTTTAGTTTGATGTTGCAATTGCGATATGATTTGCGATGAAAAATAAGATAAACGATCATTTTCAAATCATTTATCTCATTTTTATTGAAAAATGATCATGGAGAGGATCTGTCTCAAACAAAGTTAAGTGTGTAGAAGATGATGTGTAGGTCAGCACATCTCTGCAGCACCACAACAATTCATTTAAAAATGCTATTCAGACACACAACTCACCAACACACACTATGCCTCCTGCGATTTCAACGTTTAGATAAAATGTAGATTTGTGCAGCCACAGGTCTGAAGTCTCATGAGAGGCGGCTTGTTGCCGGAAGACAGCGGTAAGAGTGTGAGTGAGAGTTGGAGAGGGGCGTCCCGGGAAGAGTGAGAGTGGAGGAGGACAGAAAGCTTAGCTTAGTGTTATCTAAAAGATTTTAAATGTCATGGCTGAATATTTCGAGGACTTGGACTCGATGGCCGCGCGTACAGACGATACAGAAGCTGTGACCCTACGCACCACAGAGGAAGAACCCCACATTCAGATCTCACTACGAGGCTGGGTGAGACACAACAACAAACACAAAGTGAAAGACAAAGAAGAAGGTTCTATTTCTCCGTAGGGTTCTCTTCATAATGTTGTCAGACACAATCTGAGCCTGTCAGGTTAAAAACAACACTTTTACTGGATGTTCATTGGCGGTGAGGAGTTGCCCCGAGCGATTCCATTACAGTTCGTTCAGCGGTTCCCTCTACAGCGCTCTCCCTCAGTGCTGGACCCAATATTGTTGTCCCCGTTAGACACTCACAAATACATGGGAGGATAGGGTCCAGGTTTAAAAAAAATACCCAAGTTACCCCTTAAGACCGTCATTGTTTCTGTTTCGTGCTAATATGTTGCATATTGCCAAATCAGCGTATTTACAGTGAGAGGGAACGAGGCGGTGCTCATGCTCCTCGTCTTTTCAAACATCTCAGCACTTCTGTGAAACGAGCTCAAAGGAATGGATGCTGGTAGGAATGATGGACAGAACTATGAGTGTGTTCCTCTGAAAGGAGCGTACCAAAGTGAACCCAGCACCACATCAGAAGTAAGAGTGGTGACCTTTAACCCCGGCCTCTCTGAACTCATCACTTGCTCTGGGCTTTTCATCATTTAGCCTTCCACAACAACATACAGCTTACTCTTGACCCTGTTGAATAGTAGTTAGACCAACAAAAAGATTTATGAGTTATCAGGTCCACTCACTTGGTTTTACCGGAGCTTTCAGGCGCCTCGCTGCCTGATCAGCACAGAGTTAGAGTTAGATGCTATTTACAGGGTGGAGAGTTCAAATCTGAGCTTTTAACTGCATCTCACGGTGCTCATTGACAAGGAGAGGAGGGCCCTCTGTGGGTTATCCACAGAGTGAACCTTGAGTTTAGATCATTTAGTCAAATAAAAAAAAAACATTTTGCTGTCTCACCTGATCTGTGCTGTCGTTTTATGGTGGAAAGAATAATCACAGTCGTGTTCTTACATGTGATCTTAGTCCAGTGTCTTTGGGTAACTTCATCTAACTGTGAACACGTGACAGACCAGCATGCCAAACATGGGGGCTGTAAACCCTGCTGCCTGAGTTCTGCCTCTGGGGCTGGAGAAGCTTGCATGGGTCTAAAAATATTCTGTCTTAACTTATCCCATTATTTTAGATCTTGTCTCTGTTCCTCTGTGTGTGTGTGTGTGTGGGTGAGTGAGTGTGTGTGTGTGTGTGTGTGGACGAGCATGTGTCGGTGTCAGTGAGATGGCTTTGTGTCACGGTTTGGGGGCAGTCCATAAAAGACATTATTGTTTTGAGCCAAGTTTTTTAGTGTCCAGTTTTTTGGTACTATTTCATATTGTATTGTAGTAATACACAAGACTTTTCAACAATCTGTGGACATAAAGAAAGAAAAAAAAACAGGATATTAATGACATCTAGTGATGTACAGAATAATCCTTAGAAAAGGAATGCGTTATGAATATCTACATGTACCTGAATATTTAGCTCTTAAAACTAAAACAATTGAAACTAAAGGGATTATAGTCGCTTGTGTTGAAGTTAGAAGTGTTGCTAACAGTGTACAATAAAGGGGCCGATCTTTGTGGTGTTTGTCATTGCGGCAAACGTTGCAGGTTGCGCCTTTCTGAAATGCATTTCTGTGTGGTTACAGGCCGCAGTGTGTCTGTCTCCCTCGTGTGGTGAGACGCAGCACTGCGGCACACTCCGTCACGCTGTCTTTGGTTGGCATAGCAAACTGTGTGGTTGACTCATGTCGTGTGGTCCTGCCTAGCTAAGGTGTTGAACTGTAGATGAGAAAAACGCAGCGAAACATTCTAATCTACTATTGCATGGAAGTTCTCTGGTTATTTGACCCACTGTAATTCTTAGGAGAGGTTGTATAATGAAATGCATTGGCCATGTATGTATGTAATGTAAGATGACTTGTATACTTGTTCCAACTGTTTGTCTTATTTTTTATTACTTCACATGTCTGTGTGGTGAAATATTTCAATTTTTTGTATACTAAATACAAATGTATATGTAAGGCACTCTGTGTTCTGTCATGATTAGTTGATTTTTGGTTTCTCTTTATGACCCATAACATGTGAGAACATTAAAGAAACAGAAGTAAAGTTAGCGGACTCGTTGCACGGTAATTTAACGTCAGACTCTGGGAAAATACAACACGATTAATGAGGAAATTATACGTGAATGGCAATGAGCAAACTAGTAAATATTATTATCAGATACGTGTCCATAGAGCTTTTCTATGGCAGCTCTTTGAAGAGGCGCTCCGACAGACGGAGCTGGGTGCAGAGCTTTCTCTCTGGGATCTCACTGGACAATTACAGAAAAGATGCTACATGGACAAGGATAGAAGTCTGTGTGTTTTTACTAAAAGCATCATTTTTCAAATTTAACAGTGCTTTAGGTAATGCAATATTATTGCTTAAAAAGTGCTACATTTTAAATTCATGGCATTAATATAGCAGCAACTATTTGCTATGTAAAGCTATGGAGTGCTGTAGGGATGATGTATTTTCTTTGCCCAACATGGAAGCTAGCGTCACTACCAGGACTCATTCCTGTAGCTCTGTATGGAGGAGTAATTCCTGTAGCTCTGTATAGAGGAGTCATGGCCCTGTAGCTCTGCATGGAGGAGTCATGGTCCTGTAGCTCTGCATGGAGGAGTCATGGCCCTGTAGCTCTGTATAGAGGAGTCATGGCCCTGTAGCTCTGTATAGAGGGGTCATGGCCCTGTAGC